GGAAGGAAGGAAGGAAGGAAGGAAGGAAGGAAGGAAGGAAGGAAGGAAGGAAGGAAGGAAGGAAGGAAGGCCCAAAGAAACAATTTACTACAATTTTAAATAAGCTAAGTAATATATCTTACAATGTAAAAAGCATCTCCTCTATCCCCACTAAGAATCTGACTTCATCAATGACCTCAAGAACAAGTAAGGGACCACTCCAACCCCGACAGCCTTGCTGACAGCAGAACATTACAGGGAGAGGACCGCCAACCATTGCCCAGGCTTCTTCATTTGGCAATCAGAGCACTCCTAACAGAGGGTCACACATAGGAAGTGCAGTGCATTTTTATGATACTATGCTCTATCGCAATAAATCTGAATCTAACTTCTAAATAGGAGGTGGGGGTGGGGGGTGGAATAACAAACTGTGTGTAATGGGAAGCTCTGTGTTAAATGGATAAGAGAATAAAGCAGAAGAATTTGTTCAGACATGAACACTTTACTGACGGGATAATTGGTGGGGTTAGGGAACCCAGCTGCCTTCCCTAAGAAAATCATATTTGATTCTTTTTTCCCCCCAAAGAAGACTATAGTAGAGATCAAAGACTAACTGCAAGTTTTAACATGCATAAAAAGAACTGAACTTTCACCTGACGTTCCAACTTTACAGGTTGCATTCATGCATTACGCTAAGACATGGCGTGTTTACTTAAGGTATGCATTTATTTCTTAGACTTACGAATAAGGCCACCACATTGCAAAGACTCAAGGTTTATTACCAAATAAACCTTAACCCATAATAGCCTGGGTCTGCAAAACCCAAATCAAACTACATTTTTGGCTTAGCAGGATGCGTGAACCTTCTTTGCTGTTCACACTGCCACAAAGAAGAGTGGAAGACTGTCATTCCTACATCAGAGAGATGGTTTGACCAACAAGATGCATCTTTGAGGGTGACATCAGTAATATACAATTTAACCAGTAACCAATTACCACAGTGGCTGGGTTCACGCATGACACTATTTCACAATTTGTTTAGCTGTGGTTTGAATAAACCACAGTTGATCTGGATTGCAAAGTACACCAGCCATCAACCCTGGTTTACACACCACGCAGGCTGACTTGGCCCCACCCTTTCAGCCAAATCCAAACAAACCACATTACAATTCAGTGGAGTAATTGAACCTAGTCTGTTA